TATACATATATACACACATATATATGTATCAGATGGCACTCGTGACAACAACGTTCATAGGTCACGGTGCACAGATCGTCGCGCGATTATCTGACAGCGCGATAATGAGAATAAAATCTTGAGTACCCGAGATTACCCTGATACCGAGGTTACCATGGTCTCGCCGTGATTTCTCGTCGTCGTACCCCGTCAAACTAGTTTCGCCGATGTCAACGGCACGGACCCGTCACACGGTGTGCGTCCCTGTGCGTCACTGCGTGTCACGGTGTGTCACTCGAGAGTCCCCGATGCAGGCGGTAGGAGATCATCCGAGTTACGGTGAAATTATGACGCTATAGATGTCGGAAATTCCAATCCGTTCGGATTCGCGATACTGCATCTTTATTGATGTAACGACGGCTGCGCGCGTGCGTGCGTGCGTGTGTGCGTGCGGGTATGCGTGTGTACGAGCGTTGTTTATGCACCTACTAGGGAAGACGACGGGTGAGTACCATTATCTATTGCAAACGATAACAATGTGACTGGCTCGCACAGTAGGAAGGATCAAAGATCGAAGCTTAGAGGAGCTAGTGGGAGAGTGTACATAGCGACAGAGCCATAGAGATCATTAGCGATATCATAGATATCATCATTAGCGATATCATAGATATCATCATTATATATAATCATTATCATATATTATATATCATCATAGATATCATTAGCGATAGAGCGATAGAGATCATTACATCGTTATTCACTCGATCAAGATCGATTGAATTTGATATTATCGATTACTTCTATCGCGGCACGCGCCGCTAATCTCTCGACACGCTGGCGGGTTTTCTTCTATTATTCATTGCATTTGCTCCACGTGTTGTGACTCCATCCTAATATAAGTAATACCCTCGCGGTGGTATGCGCGCGCGTGTGTGCGTGTGTGCGTTTGTGTGTGGGGAATGTTGTGTGTGAGTGTGCGTGTATGCGTGTGCGTGCGTGCGTGCGAGTGAGTGACCAAAGTACGAGGAAATCAATGGCAGTAACCACACCCTGTGCATCAACGCCACTCGGTCGCGAACGTTAACCCTTAACGGCGACGCGCTGGGCGCCGACAAACCAGGGAAGATCAATGCACGGGGATGAAGGCATTGTATCAGCCGGCGCACACACGCCGCCGGCTGCTTGCTAAACCACCATTTCTATGAAGGGTATTTGAAGGCAGATCGAACAGGCTAAGGGGAGGTTCGCTCACCCAGCATCCGTAATATCCGGAGGATTAGGAACAAGCAAAGGGGAGCAGCTTTGAGGGGGATATTATATGAAGAGTCCAGAAAAACTGCGAGTGGACATTAAAATTCCGACTGGCCAAATACCGTTTATATTAGTGAATGTCGCAAAATCATCAAACAGCCCCCTAATCGTAGCCATAGCCACAGCAATAACCCCTGCCAACAGGATAACGCTATCCATACACACAACCCAAACTCCAATGCCATCTAAAAACCTAATCCCAACTCCCGTGTACAGTATTTCGCCTAAACGGTAGATTGGCATGTGCAGACACTTGACTATCACTCGGAAGTGACTGCGGGAACATATTCCATGCCCAAAGTCCCCAAACACGCGGCATTTCACATTCTAAAAATACACCAAATGCATGCGTGCGCCCGTATAAATGGACAGCCTTCTAGAAAAAACAAAAAACAAACAATCACACTCTTATTCTAAACCCCCGCCTGCACGTTAAGTGAGGGATTATGGAAGCTAGTGGAACTAAGAGCGACACCCTACTGCCTAGAGGGAAGATGGAGTGGCGCTCGCAATGGCAGTTGTGGGGAGGAAAGCGAAATGGGGAGAAGGAAATTGGGTTAAAGATAGAGAGTTGCTATGAGAGAGAAGCAGGGAGAATAGAGAAGAGGCTAGCAAAGAGAAGTGGAGAGAAGAAAGGTGCCACGGGGAGAGCAGGGCAGGGGAAATAGAAGAGAGGCCAGTGCAGAGAAGAGTGGCAAGGCGAGAGGAACGGGGATGAGAAAGAAGCCATTAGGAGAGTGGCATAGGACAGTGTGGCTTCTTACTTCATACTGCTGCATCGACAGCCACAGCTGCTCTTAGTCTTACTGGTGCATGGAAAGCAGAACGGAGAGAAGAAAAGAGTTGAAATAATAGAAGAGCTCTGGATAAAAGAGCAATGAAGAGATAAAAGCATGGAGAGAGAGGAGCAGGGCAGGATGGCTTCTCATGTCATTCTCCCACGTCAACAGCTGCAGCTGCTCCTACTGGTGCACAGGGAGGAGAGGAGAGGAACAGGGAGGAGGAAGGAGCTGAGAGGAGAGAGAGCAGAGAGGCACGGAGAGGGAGGAGCAGGGGCGGATCCAGGATTTTTGAAAGACGGTGTCCAGGAAGAAATAAAGGGCACCTTTTCCTGCTTAATTTTTCTGGTGTTTTTGATAAAAAGGCTGCTGAAGGCCACTTAGGGGCGGTTTGGGGGACCTCCCCAAAGAAATTTTTTTTTAATTGGTGCATTCTGAGAGCATCTGAGCAGTAATTTTGATATCTAGAATGCAAAAATTTATCAGATCCGGTCCCCCGGACGCCCGCGAACCCCTCTTTGCCCATTTCTAAGTTTTTATAACAAATTTGATAAAAAGGCTGCTGAAGGCCACTTAGGGGCGGTTTGGGGGACCTTCCCAAAGAAATTTTTTTTTAATTGATGCATTCTGAGAGCATCTGAGCAGTAATTTTGATATCTAGAATGCAAAAATTTATCATATTCACACACGCTGCCTCTATTTAGCAAGCTAACAATTAGTTTAATATATACACGCAAGTAATGCATGCAGTTGCGTGCACAAAAGCTGGAAACATAATACAAACATAATCCTCGCGAAAATGATAGCAATCAAGCGGAGCTTTCGCACGACTTCTCCGAACAACTATTTTAATAGCTATACAGCGAAACACGCCCCCGCAATTATGTAGTACCGTGTCTTTTAAATAGCGATTCTGATACACAAGGCCGGCGTGCGAGAACTACCAAATTACGCGGCGGACGTCGAAGCCGGTGTGGGGTTATCGCCGCGGAGTCACCGGAGTGCCTCCGCGAATTCGTGCGAAGAACAAATATTTGCCTTCCTCCGAACACTCCGATGATTGGCCCGCCGATTTATAACGAAAACGGATTTGTAGGGAGAGAGCGAGGTAGCCAGCCAGGGCAGGCGCGCGAGATAACATGCAAACAGACAGACAGACAGACAGACAGGCAGCCAGGGCAGGCGCATGGGCAGGCAGGCACACAGGTGAGCGGCCAGGCAGGCGAACAGACAGGCGGGCAGAAAGGCAGGCACGCGCAGGCAGGGAGAAATACACGCAGTCAGGCAGGCAGCAGGCAGGCAGGAACGTGGACTCATTGAACACATCAGAACAGATTCACACTAGCCGTGCTCGGAACACCTAAAAATATTCGGCACACAATCTAGAAAAATATCCGGTAGGATATTTTCAGGTTTCCCTGGCACACCCCGCAACTGCCCCCTTCAACCTAGTATGCCTACTTAGCAGGATTCGAGAGAGACGTGACCCTTAGTTA